CCCAGAGCACCCAGATTTGATTTCCAGCACCCGTATGACAGCTCACAACTGTCTGTTACTCCACTTCCAGAGGATTCAACGCTTCTGGCCTCTTCTAGCACTGGACACACACATGGTCCACAAACATACATATAGGGAAAAATACACATAAAATAATAAAAAAAATTGTGTGTGTGTGGGCACATGTGTTTGTACACATATGTAGGTGCCTGCAGAGGCCAGAAGAAGGTCTCAAATTCCCTGGACCTACAGTTATAGGAGGCTGTGAGCAATCTGGGAACTAAACTCAGGTCCTTTGTAAGAGCAGCAAACTCTCATAAACACTGAGCTGTTGGGAGAGGCTGTTCATCCATTCCTGGCAGTTTCGACCCAAAATAACCACATAAAAACTGTATTATTTGCAATACTGTTTGGCCAATAGCTTAAGCTATTGGTATTTCTAGTTTGTTCTTATATCCTAAACTAACCTATCTCCATTAATCTGTGTATTGCCATGTGGCTGTGGCTTATGGGCAAGGTTCTGGTGTGTCTGTCCCTTGTGGAGGTTACATGACTTCTCCCTGACTCTGCCTACTCTCTCTATATCTTTTCCAGCCTGACTATATTCTGTTAAGCCGTTAACCAAAAGCAGCTTCTTTATTCATTAACCAATAAAAGCAACACATATAACAGAAGGACTTCCCACACCAGGCATGTGGATCTTTGAGTTCAAGGCCAGCCTGGTCTATAGAGTAAATTCCAGGACAGCCAAGGATACACAGAGAAACCCTGTCTCGAGGGGGAAAAAAAAATGAATACACTCTTAGTTTGGGTTTTCATTGCTGTGAAGAGACACCATGACCATGGCAACTCTTTTTCTTTTCTTTTCTTTCTTTCTTTTTTTTTTGAGACAGGTTTCTCTGTAGCTTTGGAGCCTGTCCTGGAACTAGCTCTTGTAGACCAGGCTGGCCTTGAACTCACAGAGATCCGCCTGCCTCTGCCTCACGAATGCTGGGATTAAAGGCATGTGCCACCACCACCCAGCCCATGGCAACTCTTATAAAGAAAACATTTAACTCTTATAAAGAAGACATTTAATTTGGTGGCTTACAGTTTCAGAGGTTCAGTTCATTATTATCATGATGGAGAGCATGGCAGCATGCAGGTAGATGTGCTGGTAGCTGTGAGTCCTACATCTTGTGGACAACAGGAAGCCGACTGATTTACTTGAGGGGGATATCTTGAGCATAGGAAACCTCAATGCTTGCTCCACTGTGACACACTTCCTCTAACAAGGCCACACCTCCTAATAGTGCCACTTCTTTTGGGGGCCACTTTCTTTCAAACCACCACAAACACTAAGTCTCTAATACCAGCACCTCAGAGGTAGAGGCAGGGAGGATCAGGAGTTCAAGGTCATCTTCCACTACGTAGCAAGTTTGAGACCAGCTTGGGTTATCGGAGACCCTATCTCAAGCAACACAAAACCCCAACAACAAAAACAAAAACCTGAGACCAGCACTTGGGTGCGATTTATTTGTAAGAGATTCAACGTAAAGATGCAAAGAAAGTGGGAAATATGGTCTAGCAGAGGTCAGGGTTTGGAGGCAGAGTGTGGTGCTGGATCCAGGTGATGCCACCGTGGGCCTGCTGATCTTGGTTTACTACCTAAGCTTCAGTTTCCTCATCCGAAAGCAAGGCAGGCACTAGGCACTTGTGCCCTCCAGAGCATCCAGTACAGTGAAAGTCTACAAAGCAAAATCAGAGAGCAAAGTCACAGGGAGTAGAGATTGGACAAAAGGAGCCCCAGCCTCCCTGGACATTAGTCAACTTAAAACAATACCCACCTATAGCTGAGATTTCTGTGGGTCAGAAGTCTAGGTGCTGCATGGCTGATTTCTCTGTTCAATGCCTCACTGCCAAAATCAAGACATCTTTGAGCTGTTTTCACCTGGAGGCTTCACTTAGAGTAATCTGCCTTCAATCTCAATCAGGTGTTCTCAATATCCAGTCTCTAGGGGTCTCGGACAGAAGTTCCTGCATTCTTACTGCTTGTTACTGAAGGGTTATTCTCAGCCCCTGGAGATCAGGTCCTTGCCCTGTGGCCCCTTTCATAGGTGGCATAGAGAATCCCCCTCCCTTCTAACTTCCAGATCAGTTTAAATGGCCAGCGTGATTAGGTCTCTCAATTGTTGCCTCCCTTCCTAACTATTCATCATCCCAAACAGAAAGTCTATACTCATTAAACACAATTCCCCCAGCCTTGTTGGCCTCTTCCTTCTGTTTCTAAGAGCTTTCCTGCTGTATTACTTACTTGTTTTGGCTATCGTTGTTGCTGTAATAAAATACTGTGACCAAAAAGGTAACTAAAGGAAGAAAGGGTTAATTTTGGCTCAAGGTTCCAGAGGGAGAGTCCAAAACCGCAGGGGAGGCATGAGGGCCAGAACAGGAAGCTGACAGATCACATCTCCACCACACTCAGGAAGCAGAGGGAGAAGTCTGCTCCCAGGGACTTCCTCTGCTTCCTCTGGCAAGGCTCCACCTTCTAAAGGTTCCATAATTTTACCAAGCAGCTTCACAGCTGGGACTGTTGTATTTAAATAGATGCATACCGTCCATACTGCTATGTGTACTAGTACATGTACTATGTTACTATGCCTGTAGCGTACTGCCTGCACTATGGAACGTTCGCGAGCAGGGCAAGGGGCTGGAGATTGACACACACACACACACACACACACACACACACACACACAGGGAGAGGGAGAAGGAGAGAGAGAGAGAGAGAGAGGGAGAGAGAGAGAGAGACACGAGTCATCCTTGAAACAAGAACACCAAGAATGCCAACTTGAATCAAGAACGCCAACTTTATTGTGTTCCAGGGCATCTTTTATAGGGTCTTCTTGACCAATGGCCATGCCCCAACTCTGGTGGGCTGCAAGCCCACCAGAAACCACTCCCCTGTCTCGTGCTCAGAGCAGGTGCATGCACAGAAAAACAAGTTGTTTTGCTCAGAGCAGCTGCAAGCATAACAAATTGTTTACTCTGGCAGGCAAGGGGGTCACAGGAAATTCAGGATCTGGGGGTCCACAGTCTCCAACAACATGAGCCTTTGGGGACATTTTTCATTCAAACTTCCACACGTGTCTTAAGTGAATCATCTCATACTGGTCCCTTGTTTGGTGTGTTTCACTTGGCACTTAGTATACTCTTTTACGAATCATTTGTGGGGAGCTGGAGAGATGGCTCAGAGGTTAAGAGCACTGACTTCTCTTCTAGAGGTCCTGAGTTCAATTCCTAGCAAGCTTATGGTAGCTCACAGCCATCTGTAATAAGATCTTGTGCCCTCTTCTGGCGTGGAGGTGTACGTGCAGGGGAACGTTGTATACATAATAAATACATCTTTACAAAAATCTATTGGAATTTCTATGTATTTAAAGGCTGAATAATAGTTCATTGTGTTGTTGATCACATTTTCTTTATCTTCCATCTATCTCCTGATGAATACATGGGTTGTTCCTTTCTGTACCTGAGGCCATCTGATTTGCCTCCTTACTCATAACAGTAACCCATTGGCAGCTGGAGTAGTGTTTTGTTAGCTTTGCACAGCAGAGAGAAGGTGTGTGCATCAGGATCCCAGAATCTTGGTAAGATTCTGCCACCAGATGCCCTCTAGGAAGACTCTGCCCCTGTTGGAGAAACCATCTTATCCTCTTCACAGCTTTAATATATAAATCTCACAGCAGAGTGCTAGAGACGGCATGGCATCTGGCTTGCCTTTGTAGCCAGGCTTCTTTTTGCTCAGGACTCCAGGGCAATATGAAGGGTGCCTTTTAACCACCTTCCGTTCTCTGGGAGAGCGCTCTGGCCCCATGTCTCCAGTACTACAGATGACATGGCTTTTTTAGGTGGTAGATAAGTGTGAGAAAACCATTAGTAGAGCTAGTGAGAGTGAGCGAGAGGGCTTGGTGCTTACCATTTATAGTCTGTGATTGTGGCAGCGTGCACGAAGGGAATTCTTCCAGCATGCTGTCTGGAAAAGAACTCGGAGCATTAGTGACCAAATAGATGGCACACATATGACAATGTAAGGCTGTAACTTGGTGCGGTCTTTTGGAGATGAGGTATTGAAGTATGACGTTTGTGTTCACGAGGAACCGAGAGATGCAATTTCAGAGAATGTGAATGGGACATATTAGTAACAAGAATATTGCCTTGGAGAAGAATGGCGTACAGGGGTATGTATGGGAATATACTCGAAGTACATTATGAACTCGCATGGAAATGACCTTATATAATCATGTATAATAAAAATAGCTAAAATATTAAGAATAAAACCCTGGAACAGCAGGGATGGTATTTGAATAATATGCCATATGGCTTCAAGAAGGTTCCACATGTTATGGAAAGGAATGAGTGTGTTTTGTGAGTATCTAGGTGGCAGTGTCCCAGGTTAGGTTCTCCTTGGGAGAGACTGTTTAGTAGCTGCCTCCTGATCTGGGCTAGTCATTCTCTGAGGGTTCCAGAACTGTCTTCTTAATGTAGGGTGTACTGCCTTGCTTGTGTATAATCCTGTTTTCTCTCTCTCTCTCTCTGTGTGTGTGTGTGTGTGTGTGTGTGTGTGTGAAATAAAAGCTGTCATGTTGTCAAAGTGAATTCGAGATTTAGGTGGGAGCTAAAAGGGCTTAAAACAGTGGTTTTCAACCTGTGGGTCGTAACCCCTTTGACGAACCTCTATATCCAAAAATATTTACATTATGATTCATAACAACAGCAAAATTACAGTTATGAAGGAGCAATGAAAACAGTTTTATGGTTGGGGGTCAGCACAGCGTGAGGAACTGTCTGAAAGGGTCAGGAAGGTTGAGAACCGCTGGAAAGTGTCCACCGCTGAGAACCCATGACTCTTAGTTGGTTGTTGTTAGCTGGGGACTGCCTGAGAGGAGGAAGAGCCCCAGGTAGGGTCAGTCTTCTCCCCTGACTGTTTGCTGGCAGAACTGAACCTATCTTCTTTCTCACAGGCAACTGCCATGTCTGTGGACTGTCTTGGGCAGCACGCGGTGCTTTCCGGGTAAGTGAACCTTCAGTGTTTGTCAGCCATAAGTTCTGGGGAACATGTTCTAAGTTTCTGGGAAACTGGAAGATATCCTTATGTTTGAGGACAATGAAAGGGTTTGGTATTCACATCCTAAGGACCACATGGGCGTTAGCAGGGATTCTCTACAGTTTTTTTGTGTTTGTTTTTTCCTCTCACACAACTTCAACATGAAGAATGCTGGTTTGAAGAGCATCATCTATTCTATTTTGTTTGTTATCTCTTAGAAGCCTATTTTCTAATGAGAGACAAAGGGAGTGGAGGGGAGGAGGGGATGAAGCGGGTAGGAGTAGAGTGGAGGGAGAGGAAACTGTAATCAGGATATACTGTGTAAGAAAAGAATCTACCCCCCCCCCCCCCGACAGGGTTTCTCTATAACTTTGGAGTCTGTCCTGGAACTCAGTATGTAGTCCAAGCTGGCCTTGAACTCACAGAGATCTGCCTGCTTCTGCCTCCTGAGTGCTGGGATTAAAGGTGTGTGCCACCACTGTCCTATTAAAAATCTACTTTCAATGAAAAGAAAAAAAATAATTAAATATATAGTGAGATGTATAAGCTATACTAATATGAAGTGGATAAATTTACAAATCTATATGCTTATGAAGTCACCATTCTAATTAAATTATAGTATTTTTTTTTAGCACATTAGAAAGCTCTTCCAATGTGAAATATGTGTTCTTTAGTTTGGAAAATTTTTCCTGCCTTATACTCTTGATAATTTTCTCCCTTCTAGTTTCTCTTTCCTCATTCTTTGTTTCTATAGTGTTAGTGATTTTTTTCTGGCCTTTTTTTTTTTTAATAAAAATTTACTTATTTACTGTGTATACTGTGTCCTGCCAGCATGTATGCTTGCACACCAGAAGAGGGCACCAAATCTTATTATAGATGGTTGTGAGTCACCATGTGGGTGCTGGGAATTGAACACAGGATCTCTGGAAGAACAGCCAATCCTCTTAACCTGAGCCTTCTCTCCAGTCTCTGGCCTTTTTTTTTTTTCATTCTAAGTGTTTTAAATGATCACTTCCAATTCTTCATTTAGATTTTCTTTTGAGATATATTTCTTTATTATTTATTTGTATGTGCGTGTGTGCATGCATGTGGTGTGTGTGTACACCTACATGAATTTATATGCGTGGTAGATGAATTTGTATGCGTGGTATGTGTGGATGCTCACAGCAGCCAGAGGTCATTTAATCCCCTAGAACTAGAGTTATAGGTGGTTGTGAGTCGCCTAATGTAGGTGTTGGGAACTAAACACCTACAAGAGCAGGAAGTGGAGTTTTAAAGCGAAAAAAAAATATATGTATGAGTTTTCCTGAATTTCTGTATGTGCTCCATGCATGTGCCTGGTGCCCTCAGTCCATAACTGGGTGTCAGATTCTCCAAAGCTGCAGTTATAGACAGTTGTGAGCCATCTCGTGATGAATCCATGTCTTCTGTGAGACACCAATACTCTTAGCTCCTGGCCCATTTCTCTAGCCCTCTGTTAGATTTTCTTAATTTTCAAATGTTTTAATTTTCAATAACTTTCAAAGACTCGAATTAAACGTGACGCCTCAAAGGTCTAGACAGAGGGTGTTAGAAAGGGGTCTTCTTTTCCTGGCTTCCAGTTGTGGGCACAGCTGCACATGTCTCCCTCCCCCCCCCCCCAAAAAAAAAAAGAGAAAAACTTGGAAAAAAAAGAGTAAAGAATGACTAGAATAGCCGTTTACATGCTTCCAGGCATTCTGGTTTTGTTTTGTTGGTTCTGCTTTTGCCTTCCAGCCCTACTCCTCCTTGCCTAGAGAAGGTGCCGTCAGGTCCTGCACCTCAAGTCAGCTCGAGTCTGAGACACTTGCTGGCATTAGCACTTGGCTTCTTGTCTGTTGTTATTCATGATCAGTTGCCATTTGCCCATATGCTTTCATTTCCCCTCCAGTTTGCTTTGCTTTGCGGCTTCCGGTCTTTTTTTTTTTTTTTTAAGTATATTTTAGTAGGGGGTTGGGGGTGAGGGAATGAAGATAAATACACGTTTAGTCACTGGAATCTGTCCTAAAGACCCCCTTTCTGCTGTTCTCCATTGGTCTGCACTTTTAGCTCCCCAGTAATGCACAGCCCATGGAGAAGGCTCGTCTGTACTGTTTGTCCTTCTAAAGGGAAGGCACCATCCTTCCTCCTGCATGAGTAGGTGATTTCTTTGCTTCTGGTTTTCGTTCTGCATTAACTTCCTTAGACGTTCCAGAAGATCTGTGAGATTCTGTTTCCCTGAATTACTCTTCTTCCCCCTTAACTACCATCCCTCTTTACAGTCTCTGCTACTCTCTAGAATTTTCTGTTATTTTCCAAACAGGGACTGTTAATCTTTTTTCCTTGGGCTTATTGGTCCTCATTGATACCCAGAGTCTTAGCATGTTCTCTAATTAAAAATCAATGCCAGATTGCTTCAGGGGTGTCAATTCACACCCAGTCATTTTTTTTCTTTCTTAAAACAAGTACAAAGCATTCTTATTTTTCAGATTCTTTACATTGATTGACACTTTAAACGTACTATGACAGCCTTACTATGCTACTTCAATTGTTACTCCTTTTTCTTGGGTCATTAGTTCTCTTCCTGGTAGATCTGGTTTTGTTTCTGAGTAGTAGACTTGCAGAGGAATCTGAGATTTTTCTGCAGGAGTTTGGCCCAGTAATAAGTGTGTTTAACACATTCGTTGCACATAAAGCTCTGTGCCTGGTGATAATGGACCTAAAAAGATATTTTAGCTATGGTTTCATTTCCAGATATGCAGGTGAATTGAGACAAGAGCCTTAACATTTGGTAGAGGAAACAGTTGAAATGTAGACCCTGCAGTGGGCTTACCGTGGGACTGGAACTCGATCCTAGCTGGGTCATTGGGAAAGGCTGGGAGAGGAGCAGGTTGGAGCTGAACACAGAGAGAGCAGACAGCAGATGCACTCTCTCGAGTGGACATGGGTAGTGAAGGCCAAATATAACGGTAGCTCTCACAGGGATACGGTTCCCCTTTGCGTAACCCTCAGCTTGGGAACACTTGTCATTTGTATGCCTTTCAGAGTAGGTAGTTGCCGCGTGAATCTGAGCGTGTTGGAGCAGTGCTTACAAGCTGCACTCACTGCAAGATGTGCTCCTCTATCATGACATGCACGCTGCTATGTTGCTGTATTGCTACAATGTTGATGTCGTTCTAGCCGAAGATTCCTGTACATCGTCAATCTAGATGCCCCTTTTGAAGGTCACCGCAAAATCTCTCGCCAAAGCAAATGGGACATCGGAGCTGTGCAGTGGAATCCTCATGACAGCTTCGCACATTATTTCGCAGCTTCGGTGAGTTCGTTTAAGGAGTGTCATCTTTTAACTGTGTCGTTGAGGGCTGCAAGTCTTTGTCCTGTATGGAGAATTAGTCTTCATTGCTCAGTTTAAAAAAAGAAGAGGACTGTGGGGCTGGCAAATGGCTCAATGCTTAAAGGTCAGTGGATAGATGATCTTCCAGAGTACCTGGGTTTGATTCCCAGTACCTACATGGTGGCTCACAATCAAAACTGTCTGTGACTTGAGTTCTAGAAGATCTGACACCCTCATCTAGCCTCCATGGGCACCAGGCACGTACACGCTACACGCTACACAGATGTACATGAAGGCAAACACCCAAACACATTTAATATAAATAAATAAATCTTAAAAAAGAGATTTGCCTGCTTCTGAAAGATGAGGCAAGTTGTCATGTATGTTTTACATGTATTTGTGTCTGTGTATAATTAATTCGCTGGCCCCTAGTCTGTGTCAGCCTTTGTATTTATTTCTAGGGACGGAATTCAGATTTTTAAAGGGGAAGCAAGCAGATGCTTTCATTTCTGTGTGTAGGGAGTTACGTTCCTTAGTGACAATATGACTAGCCGGGGGCTGCATGGCGGATGCCCAGAAAGGTACTCTAAGGAGGGGAGCGTGAGCTGGTCTGGAGCTAGCCTTCTGTGCTTTTAGAGGGATCAAACACCTCATCCATCGGCTGGAAAGACGGTTCAGCAGTTACGAGCAAGTACCGCCCTTTCAGAGGACCTAAGTTCAGTTCCTGTCACCCACTTGGGTGTCTGTAAGTCTAGCTCCAGGGGACCTCAGGCCTCTGCTGGCCCGTGTGAGCACCCGCACTCACATGCAAGCACCCCCTCCCACACATAGACAGTTGAAAATAAAATAAACTAAAACAAAAATGCCTTATCTGTTCCAAGGGTGGGGTTCCTTCCATATGGAGTTCATTAGATTGGTTAACCTCTGCAGACTTGGGGTGCCTATTTATATCTCAGTTCCCCAGGGCTTACACCCAACTTCTTTCTCCTTTCGGAGAAATGTATCACCCTTCAGAAGGTTTTGGACTGTGTCATCTCTGGCATCTTTCTCCTGATTCTTTGTCATCATTTTCTCTAGAGCAGTGGTTCCTAACCTTCCTAACGCTGTGACCCTTTAGTTCAGTTCCTCATGTTGTGGTGATCCCCAGCTATAAAGTTATTTTCGTTGCTACTTCATAACTGTAATTTTGCTACTTTTATGAATTGTAACGTAAATATTGTTTTCCGATGGTCTTAGGTGACCCTTGCTGAAGGGTCATTGACCCCCAAAGGGGTCGCAGTCCACAGGTTGAGAACTGTTGCTCTAGAGCAACTGTAGATGTCCATGCCTGGCCCTTTATGATTATTATTATTTGTGTATGTACATGTGGATATGTGTTTATGTGTGCATGTATGTGTATGATTGCATGTGTGTATACATACATGTGGAGGCCAGAGGTCAGTGTGGAATGTTTTCCTTGATCATTTTCCACTCTCACTGAGCCAGGAGCTCACTGATTTGGCTAGACTGAGTGGCCATTAGCCTTCAGGGATTCTCTTCTCCCACTTCCCCAGCACGGAGATTCTGCACCCAGCTTTTGATGTGTGTTTCAGGCATTGAATTCGGGTCCTTATGTTTGTGTGGCAACCACTTTACTGGGCTATCTCCACAGCTCTCACTGGACGTTTCTGTCGTTTGTTTTGTTTACCCTGTAGGATCTCTGCCACACGAGCTGCCCTCTATCACGTCTTCTTCTTTATATTAAGCGATAGAGACGAGAACTTCTGTTCCACATGTGCGCTGTGCCACTCACTATCTCCTCCCCCTTGCTTCTTTTCAGAGCAATCAGCGGGTCGATCTTTATAAGTGGAAAGATGGCAGTGGGGAAGTTGGTACAACATTACAAGGCCACACTCGAGTGATCAGGTAGGCATTGCCCCTGGGCAGCTTCTTGGTCTGTCTCACTTTGATGGGTGCCATGAAGATGCCATCCTTTTTACATGCTCGACCTGCTGGGTTATATTCGCCCCAGTCGCCAAGAGTCCTCAGTCTTCACGGCATAGTGCTGACCAGTGATCTAGAAAACAGCCTGTTAACATTTAGGAAGTATAACCTGAATCTCAGAAGACTTGGCTACAGCCCAGTCCAAAGTACAGGGTCAGGGCTGATTGTTGCTTAAGGAAGGAGAAGTTGTTATACCACAGAATTTCCCCATTCAGGGTCCTTAGTGGTCAGGAGTGCAGGGTACACCAGGCAGCAGCCACAGATTGTCTCACAGAACTCCTGCATCACATAGTTGCCTCCCATGTGGGGCTTTCCAGAGTGTTCCTTGAGCCTCCTTTCCTCTGGGCCACTATTCCCAGAGGCTGGGAAGATGACCTGGAAGTGACAGGAAGGTTTAGGTACTTTTGTGTGCAGAGCGCGCAGCCTTTTCTAGGACAGAGGGCGGCAGGCAGGAAGTAAGAAGTTTGCCCCTGCTTAAGAGGCTTTCCCCAAGGCTCCCGTGGTTGATAATGTAGAGATAACTTTGTCTGTTTCCTCTTTTTTTTTTTTCTGTTTATTCACTGAGTAGAGAGAGGAAGAGTCGGGCTCCTGTACATTTTGTTTGTTAGAGGGAAGGAGCTTATGTCTTGTTTGTTGTTGTTTTTGAAGCCTAAGGACAGTTTAATTTATTAGAGTTTAAAAGAAAACTCCAGGGTGGCGAGCTATAGAGCTCGCACTGCCTGGAAGAAGATGGAGAAGAGGAAGAGAAAAGGCCTTGCTGTCTGAATTAAACCTGCGTGGAGGGTCAGCCACCTGCAGTGAGGACAGGATCTTTAGGTAAAAAGTGTTAGGGCAAGAGCTAGAAGGAGCTGGTATGATGGCATGCATGCCTTTAATCCCTGAGTTCAAGGCCAGCCTGGTCTACAGAGTGAGTTATACAGAGAAACCCTGTCTTGAAAAACAAAAGAGCGAGAGAGAAGAGAAGGAAAAGTTGTGCTTCTCTGAGCTAAAGGGCAGGCCCAGCAAAACCTCACCGCAGCTCCGTGTCATCTGTCGCTGCGCATGTTGTGGGTTGAAAGGCCCCATTTCTTTTCGGGAGCAGGCAGGATTATGGCTGGCAATTCTGGGGGGCAGGACCTGAGTTTCCTTCTGAGCTCAGTTAGCTCTTGTTCATCTGTAGAGACCTTTAGTGCCTTGCTTCCATGTTAGGCAGCACCCCGCGAAGCCACTAGAGATGGACTTGTAAGCGCTTTGGAACCAGACCCTGAAGCTCTGCCTTTCTGTTGTTCTGTTATTTTGTCTCTGCCAGTGACCTGGACTGGGCAGTGTTTGAGCCAGATCTCCTGGTCACCAGCTCTGTGGACACCTACATCTACATCTGGGATATCAAGTAAGATCAGCGAAGAGGCGTGGCCACTTCGCTGGGGGACGGTTGGAAACTGTTGGAGGTTAAGTGTCTTAGTTTGATTCCTGTATCAGATCCCGAGACCGGGATCTGAGAGTAGATAAAGAAGTAAGAGAAGAGTCACCAGGGATGGAGACAGGCAGATCTGGAAGGCTGTGGAGAGCAGCTCTGGCCTCCCTGGTCACCTCTGTAGAGTGTAGTCTTCCTGGGGAGCGTCAGTCTCTGGTGGGAAACTCTTTCCTCAGCTGTGTTCCACTGAGGGCCTGGAAGCAGAGTCACAGCTGATGGCTGCCCCCAGCAGCCTGAATTCCCCAGCTCTTCGGCTTGTCAGGGTTCTACAGAGCAGTCCTCCAAGGCCAGGCGAATCCCTGCGGCAAAGCAGCACAGACGCTGGCATTTGTAAGTCGAGCTGGTCTGCTGAAGTGCAGTCATGAGTTGCTAAGACATCTGCTTAGCTCTTACTGGCTCCTTGTGAGGCTTCTGTTCCCCTACTGTCAGAGAGGGGCTAAGGCCTCCTCACAGGGTTACAGCTCCTAAAGTAGGGTTAAAGGAGCTTCCAGTCTGAGGTCTGGCTTGTCTAGGAACAGGGTTGCTTTTGCTGACAGTTAGAGCTGGCCATTCCAAGGGGGCTGTGTGTAGACACTGCTGTATTGGAGGCCCCCTTGGCTGCCGGGTCACTGCCTTCCTTGTGGCACTAACTTGGAGTTGTTTTACCCTGCCAGCTGAGAGTGTCAACAGATGACAAGCCAGGGATGGAAGGGGAACAAGCTCGTCAGACCAGCAAAAGTATTCTGGTCCGTAAGGTGTGTGTGTCTGGCCTGATCAAATACAGCCACCTTCCCTGCAGATCAGCCCCTAGAGCCTTTGGGTGTAAGGGCAGGACCTGAGAAGAATCCAGAAGTGAAGAGGAGAGCTCTTCAGCAAATGAAAACTCCTCAGGGAACCAAGGGGCAGGATTAGGGAACACCCCTCATGTACATACAACAAGTATTTTCTTCATTTAAAGACATTGAATTAGCCAAATGTAGTAGTGCACACCTTTAATCCCAGCACTTGAGAGGTTAATTTAAGTTATAAGAACTAGCAAGAAGTGAGCCTGAGCTAAGGACAAACATTCGTAACTAATAATAAGTCTCCACATCATGATTTGGAAGCTGGTTGGCGGCCCAAAGAAAGTCTGCTACGTGCAACTGCGGTTGGCCAGAGTGGAGTGCACAGTTCCAAGCGCTTGAGGGGATGGAGAGTTGTTTAATGTGTGAAGTTTGGATCTGCACAATGGCGCTTTGGAGATAAATGGCGGAAGGATGTAGACGTACTTAGACAGTTTAGCGGCAGATTCAAAAATGCTTAGGGTGACGAATTTTGTGGTTTATGTCATCACGATTTTAGTGAGGAATAATTACCACAGATACAAAGAAGTACAGCAATTAACGACAAAGTCAGGGATAACTTTCTTCACAGAGGACATGTGAGGGAACCAGACACTCCCTGGGGCTGAGGAGGCTTTAGAGTTTCTTAAACTTCCCGAATTGACATACCCTTTTCACCTAAGAAATTTTCCTGCAACCCCGGGGTTCACAGGTTTATAAAACAGGTGTGAAATCAGAACACCTTAGATTCATTCTGTGTTTGATTTTGAATTCATTTTTTTGGTCACTGACTGCTCAAAAATCTTTTCTTGTTGCCAAATGTTTTAGGACCTAACCCGCTCCCACCCATTCAGGTTCGACTTAAATAACCAACGTAGGAATGCCGATTCAGTGTCTTTTTTTTTCTCCAGTTTTTTTGAGACAGGGTTTTTCTGTGTAGACCAGGCTGGCCTTGAGTTTACAATCCTCTTGCCTCAGCCTTTGGGTGAGGAGGTTATAGGTATGTGCTACTATGCCTGGCATTTTTTTTCTTTTTTCCCTTTCTACTGGAGACTCATCTCTGCCTTTCCCATGCAAGGTGAGTAATTTACCACTGAGGTGGGCGCCAGCTCCCGCAGCAGTTTTGAGTGCTGACTGGGAAGGTTCTGTTGCCTTGCTGCAGCTAGGAATCATGACAACAGCAGGGGATCCTGAGTCTTCTTTAAGACAGGGTTTCTCTATGTAGTCCTGAATGTTCTAGAACTCACTCTACAGACCAGGGTAGCCTCCAGCTCACAGAAATCCGCCTGTCTCTGCCTCTCGCGTGCTGGGATTAAAGGTGTGCGCCACCACCACCTGGCTCTTTATACTTTTTTCAAAGGTCCTCAAACAATGTTAATTCTAAGTTCTCCTAGAGGAGAGTAAAGGAATGAGTAAAGGGTGAGTGGCAGTGTTTGGCTGCTGGTGTACCATGAGTCAGGCATTTGCTTCTGTTTGTCTGTTTCAGAGACACAAGAAAACCTACTGTTGCCCTGTCAGCTGTAGGTAAGTGGATACCCCTGGCTTGGCTTTCTTGGTCCCTTCCTACTCATCCTGCTCACAACTCTGACTATTCACAGCACATGCTCCATCGCGGCTGCCTGTAGTTCTAAGTTCCACGTTCCAAGACTCTTGCTTTGGGCTGAGTCCTAACCCTAACCCTGATCCTAGGTTATCTGCAGCCTTGTTCTCACCATTAGCTTCAATAATTGTCATCCTATATCCAATATAGGATCCTATATCCTGTTTTACCCTCATTCCTTTTGTGACTATTTTGAAGCAAAATCTGTATATTACATTACTTCTTCAAATATTTTATTATGTATTCTCATATTCTTTCTGTCTCTGTCTCTGTCTCTCTCTCACACACACACATACACACACGCACAGAGAGAGAGAGAGAGAGGGAGAGAGAGAGAGAGAGTGAGAGAGAGAGAGAACCTCTGGGGGCTAGAGAGATGGCCCAGTTGGTAACGTGCTTGCCATCCAATCATGACACACCAGTTTGATCCCCAGAACTCATATAAGCCTGGTATGGTGGTGTGTGATTATAATCCCAGATCTAGGGAGACAGAGACAGAAGGATCCTTGGGGCTCATTGGTGAGCTCGAAGCCAGTTCATGTCATCCTGATCTCATGAGCACTGTGACAGTGGTTAAAACTAACTGCTGAGGGGTGATGAGAGTCAAGAGGGATGTGTAGGGCTGGTTGTGGTGATACATAGAGGCAGACTTAGCTTTGTAAGTTCAAGGCCAGCCTATTCTACATAACAAGTTTCTAACCAGCCAGGGCTACATAGTGAAATCTTGTCTCAAAAATTTAAAAAAGGAGCCAGGTGATGTTCGTGCATGTCTTTAATCCCAATACTCAGGAGGTTGAGGCAGACAGATCTCTGTGAGTTTGAGAACAGAGCGAATTCTAGGACAGTCAAAACAGATACTCAGAGAAACCCTGTTTCAGAAAACCAAAAGAAAAGGAAAAAAACAGTGGGAGTGGTGTGCTGCCCAAACTGGGACTAATTCTAAAGCTTGAGTCAGTGTTTCCCTAAGACTGTTATGCCAAACAACTCTGAAGAAATAGAGTGGGCAGGGGTCAGAGTGAGAGTTGTTCTTCGGGAGTCAGAGTTTTGTGACAAGTCTGTTTGTTGCCAACCAAACTACTCCATTCTTGCTACTGTAAGCAGCTCATTGTCCCCGCTGACTGTGCTCAAAGTCCCCTGTGGCTTTTCCCTTAGAGACTGTCTCCTCCATAGGTGACTGTGATCCTCCACTGTGATCTTGTTCCCATGTGTTAACACACTTATTTGCAATACTTTTCATCTGTCCTTGCGGAGCCCAGAGCCCGTGCAGTCAGAGACGCTGGAAGGGCTCTGCTCCCAGCATCGGAGCTCATTATCCAGCTCCCCTGGACGCGCCTCACTCTGCCTCCGGAAGCGGGGAGGGCAGTGCCATTCTTCCTGTGCTTCTGTTTCTTCCTTTGCAGCCGGTGCCTCCCAGGTCAAATGGAATAAGAAAAACGCTAACTACCTTGCCACCAGCCATGATGGTGACGTACGGATATGGGATAAGCGGGTGAGTGTCCTGTTCCCTGTGACCTTTCTCCCGTAGTTGGTATTTAGTTTCTCCTAGAGGGTGTGGAGAGGGTGTTATCGAGTCCCAGGACTTGTCTCAATAGGTTAAAGAATCCTATGGGGCATGACAAATTGTCATTGTAACCAAGTGACATTTGCTTCTCATCCAAATTGCTGTAGGAAAGTAAGGCATTGTAATCAGTGGTTAATACAATAAACTTGGCCTGACCTAAGACAGAGCCTCAATTTACTGCTCCCTGTTAGCACATTAGGTAAGCCACTGTCACTGCCTCAAGCTTTCCTGGCCTTGTATATCTTTGTGTTTTTTTTTTTTTTTTTTTTTTTTTTTTGAGACAGGGTCTCACTGTGTACCCCCACCAGACTTGGAACTTACTGTGTAGGCCAGGACTGTATAGACCAGGCTGGCCTGGAACTCACGACCGCTTGCCTCTGCTTGCACATGTGTGCTGCCGCACCCAGTGTTCCTCGTTCTCTCCCCTCCCGTCCCCCTCGTCAGTAATGTTCTTACTGTACAGAGAATACCGTCCACATCTGAAAGAAAAGAAGGAAACAAAGCAGAAGTTGGGGGTGGCTCATCCTGTTTGCTGTCATAGGCTGCAGGACCTGTTGGGGGTACATTGTGCGGTGTGCTGGCTGAAGTTGCTGCCTCCTGGGGCTCCTGGGAGAAGGTGCTTTCAGAAATTGGAAAGGTGTAGCAGTGTTTGTTTTCATTTTCTGTGTCTTTGATCTAGTCCACCCATAAGCCTGTACTCACCCTCCCCCCTCAGAAATTTGTGATTGGTTTTATTCAGTTTGTCATACCCTTCAGTGGCAGTGAATATTCTTAATAGGCTGGGTTTGTCCACATGCCTCACAGGGCGAGGGGAGCAAGACTGAGCTCACAAAGTTACACTATAATTTATTCAATTTAATCACTCTCTACCTACTGGTTCTAGAAGTTGCTTCTGGCATCTAGAGTTCCAAATATCACTAATGTGAATGCCTTTTGTATCTAAATCATCTATTGAATTTGGATTACCCCTTCAAAGAAGGAAATTTTTAATACATTTTTTTTTAACATTTTAAATTGTGTCGGGTGGGAGGATGCATGTGTGCACATGGAGGTTTTGGGGGCTCTCAGTGCTCAATCACTAGAAGACGTATGCTCTTACCCTCACTGTTGAGGTTGGGTCTGCATGACTGTCACAGTCGCTCCTCTTGTGATAGGAAGGGGAACAGAAATGGTCCCCTCTGAAAGATGAGAAACAGCCACTACCTGTATCTCTTATTAAAATCATGCGTCAGGCTGGAGTGGGGAGAAATGAGACTGACAGGCTTACTCCCGGGGCATGTGGAAGAGCTTGGGGTAGATCTTCTGTTATTATTGGCCTTATTTGTCTAAACAAAGAGAGCTTATGAAGGGTAGAGGCCGTAACTGTCCTTGCAGTGTCCAGAGTCCCCTCAGCACCCAGCAGCCTGTTCTATGGTAGACTTTCAATGAGCGCTTTCAAAAGCAGCAAACCCAGTGTCGTTGTGTTGTAGAAACCCAGTACAGCAGTGGAATATCTAGCAGCCCACCTCTCCAAGATCCATGGCCTGGACTGGCACCCAGACAGCGAGCACATTCTCGCCACCTCCAGTCAAGATAACTCCGTCAAGGTGAGTGGTCCCCACTGGAGCCCTGGAGGAGCTGCGTGTGGGAGGCATCAGGAACGCGTGCTAGCACTCTGGAAGGAAGCATGCAGTTTGCTGGTCTGCCGCACGTGCCTCATGGGTACGCGTGCTCCCTGGGGCCTCCTGACCAGCAGGAGTGATAGTGTGGCAGCTGGCTGGTGAGCTTCTTAACTTGTGCATATTTTCTTTCCTTCTGAAAGTCAGAGACAGAAAGATTTATCTGAGAAGAAGCTGAGAAGAAGCCAGATGTATACACAGAGATAAAGTCAAGGATTAGAAGCCCACACGATCTAAAGCCACCAAGAGTTCTAGTTTGTCTGTTGATGGTGGCAAGCCATCCGTTCCTCATGTGATTGTCATATCTGTGAAAGCTGTGACCTCAGACTTTAGCATTGCCAGGATAGAGTTTGGCTAATGTTCTCTAACTTAAGACCTGCTCAAGATTCAGGAGCCCTGTCATTTTTGATTTTTCTTAGAGACAGTGTTTCCCTTTTGTTTTCTTTAGCTGTGGCATCAGCCATGTAGGGCAGTGGCAGGGCAGGGTCGCTCTGCTCTACCCTTCCTTCTATGTTCAAATCTGAAGTTACCTGGCGCAAGTGAGAAGGAAACATGGAACATGCAACAAACCTGCTCAGGAGTTTAGTGTGTGTGTGTGTGTGTGTGTGTGTGTGCAAGCCTGGTGAGGTTGGTGTGCAGAGAGAGAGAGCTTGAAGATGGCACATCCAACTTTTAAGGGCTGCCTAGCGCATGCGCGCAGGGGGATGACGTGGTTATGTCATAAGCACATGACAGTGCTCACGCATGCATGCAAGGGCTCACACAGTTGTGTCAGACTTAGGTGATGCAACCTTGCCACACGTGGGTCACACGCAGGGTTCTTTAAGATCCCCCGGGGCCATTAGGCATTTCTGCCTGAGGGCTTGTCCGCGAGTGTTCCTGGTCCTAGAACTCGGAAGTGTCAGCCTTGTTGTGTGGCTGAATCATTACAAAGTCTCTATCCCTGCAGGTCAGGACTTGACCAGAAGTTGGTTTAGCATACATTGATCATTATCATAATATTTTATTGGATTTCTATAGCTCTAACCTTTCTGGTTTGGTTAGCTAAATTCGAGTCCAAGCCATTCTATGTAAGGATTCAAAGTACCTCTGTCTGGAGGTTTGCCAGTCCCCTGGTTCTGTGTCACAGTTCCTTGTTTGTTTACTTTAGGTTTTGTAGGTTTCTGTCCCTAATCTCCCAAATTCAGGAGACAGAAACTTACCCCTTCTGCATTTGAAAAAAAGATTAGAAACGTCCTGCCATGTTAGCTGTAAAGACTGGGTGAGATTAAAATGATTTAAATGACTGTCTGGAAGCAGTAAGTTGTCAGGGCGTGTTACCTGTTAAATTCCTTTTAGATGTAAAAGTAATGCGGGATTGAAACCTGTTATTTTCACCTTTGAACTGCAGTGGTTATTTCATACGCAGCTGATCTGCCCCGTGTGGTCCTGGTGCAGTCTAGAAATCCTGCTGTAATGTTGATAGATGTAAAAGGAAGGGTTCTTTGTGTGTCTGACAGTACATGCTATGGGGGTGGAACTGATTGGAGGACGAAAAGCAATGAGTTTGAAGGCTATGCTTGCCTCAGAAGTGGAGTTTTTTTTATTTTTTTAATGGCATTTATTTCCCAAACTTTCTTGTAGTTCTGGGATTACCGCCAGCCTCGGAAATACCTCAATATCCTCCCTTGCCAGGTGCCTGTCTGGAAAGCCAGATACACGGTGAGTGAGCTCCCCACCTCTTGTCTGAAGTGTGCATTTTCTTGCTGTCTTTGTGAGGCTGTTTTCTCCCTTTGTCTTGGTTTGAAGTGTGGTGAATACAGTCATGGTGTTAGGCATTTACCTTTGGAAGGCTATCTGCGTGTTCCCAGAGAAGCAAGCTCGTGAAGATACTTATTCACCAAGGGTAGTTCACCAAGGGTAGGAAGGAGAAGGGGGGTGGGGTGAGGGGAAACCTGGCTTTAGATTCAGAGGATTTGGGACCCAGCCCTACCATTTAATGCTTTTGTGGCCCTGGAACAGTTGATTGTAAGCAGTGATTTGCAGAGTTGAAGGACACTTTTCACTCTGTCCTTAAATTATTTTTAAGGGTTTGTGTCTGTGTGTGTGTCTGTGTGTGTATGTCTGTGTGTGTGTCTATGTAAGTATGTGCCATGTGCACATACGTGCCCACAGAGGCCAGAAGAGAGCTGGGGTTACAGGAAGTTATGAGTTAGCCAACATGGGTGCTGGGAACGGTACTTGGGTTCTCTGAAAGCTCAGTAACTGTTTCTGATTGCTGAACCATCACTCTAGCTCCAAGATGTTGTTTCTTTTCATGTGTGTGGGTGCTGTGGGAGTGCAGGTACCCACAGAGGTTAAAAGAGGGCATCTGATCCCTTGGAGCTGGAGTTATAGGAGGTTGTGAGCCTCCTGCTGTGGATGTTGGGCGTGTTCTCTGTAAGGGCTGATGTCTGCTCCAGCCCTGCCCCCACTTTCGTTATTGCCATAATAGTCGCCATTCTAAAGTGGACAATCCTGTGGCACTGGAAATATCACAGTCTGCCTTCCACTTGAAGTAATGCACACGGATGTGCCTTGTAAATCACAGAAGACTACAAATAGGCTGCTCTCCTCCTCCACCCATTTTCCCAGGGCCACATTGATAGCTGTGAGTCAGAGATAAGTGTATTTCCTTTAATGTCACTTTGAAAGCAAGCATGGGGATGAACAAAGCTGCATTTATGCATTAGTCTGTCACCATGGGACATTGTGGAGCAAAGAAGATAATTGGACATTATGTTGTTTTTGCATCTGGGATCACTTGCTGAGAAGTGAGACACTGTTCTTAGGTGCTGACGTCTCTGGGTTCATGTTTGCTTTAAAAAAGAAACATGAAAGTTGGGGAGTATTATTGGGAGGCGAGGAGATAAATAAGTGTGCTCTTGTGTAACAGTGCTTTTTTCCTTAAATAGCAGAGTCTGGATATTAAGCCAAATGGGCCCTCAACTCCCCTACAGACTGAGTGTTGCTAAGTCGAACAGCAGTCCTGGGGTTGCTAAGTTTTTCTTTGAGTTGGTGAGACAGTGATGCTTCATGTAGATGGCGTCAAGACCTTTCTGCATGCAGGGTTTCCCAGTGAGCCCTGCACACTCATTCCTGAGAAGGATCTCATGGAGAGTAGTTAGGGCTGCACACTCATCCCGAGAAGGATCTCATGGAGAGTAGTTAGGACATGGAGCAGAAAGAGGCGTTTGCATGCTGTAGAATTTTCAGAGTTATTGTTAATCCCACCGGGCAAGAATAAGACCACAACCTCAATTTTGAGCCAAATTTGAAGGAAGCTTTAAGTAAATCCTGGCCAGGATGATGGACTCTGACAAGGTCTATTCAGGGTTCCCAGAAAATGGCCATGAGCTCCTTTGGTCAGGTGCTTAGAAAGGCAAACCTATAAGGTTATGTACTTCCTGCCTTTGTCCAATTGGGGGCAAGTGTACATCCTGACATACTTCCTGCCTGTGTATGATCAAGCATACCTGGTGCAGTTGGGTCAACCAAACTTGTTAGGGAAGTGAAAACATATGGCTTGTCATTATATATGGACAGCAGCCTCCAGCATCCTAGGAATTACCTGTCCTTGGGCAAAGGGCTTACATACAGGTTAGAGGCCTTTTTGTTTTGAGATCTCTTAGGCACAGTAATTAAAACTTACAAGATAACTTTGGCTCTCACATTATCTAAACATTTGACTCAGCCTTATTTCCCATTTGCTGTGTTCCATTCCATTACCAGAGAGAAGGCTATATGTGGTAGACTGCTTATGGTATTTCTCTAAATGCGTTTGAATTTATATAGATTTTTAAAATTAAAGATAGGTTCTTAGCCTGGTGGTTATGGTGCAGGCCTTTAATACTGGCACTTGGGAGGCAGAGGCAGGTGGATCTCTGAGTTTGAGGCCACTCTAGTCTATAGAGTTTCAGGACAACCAGGCTACACAGAAAAACCCTGTCTTGAAAAAAGGAAAAAGCAAAAAAGATAGGTTCTTTCTATGTAGCCATGGCTGGGCTGGGCTGGGCTGGGCTGGGCTGGCCTGGAATTTGATAACTAGACCAGGCTAGCCACAATCCTTCTGCTTCTGCTTCCTCAGTGTTAGTATTACAGGCGTGAGCCGCCATACCTGGTGTCCACCATGTAGTTTATTTTAGATAGGAAAAATTCCAGCTTTGGTTTTGTCTGATTCTCCACAGAATAATCATAGCTTTCCTCTTCTTGGCCGTAGCCTTTCAGCAACGGCTTAGTGACGGTGATGGTCCCCCAGCTGCGAAGGGAAAACAGCCTGCTCCTATGGAATGTTTTTGACTTGAACACTCCAGTTCACACCTTTGTGGGACACGATGATGTGGTGCTGGAGTTCCAGTGGAGGAGACAAAAGGAAGGTGAGTGAGGAAGGTGGTGGGCTTGTCTTCTGAGCGCTCACGGACATCGCAGTCATTTGGGAGAGTGAGGAGGTAGCAGAACAGGGCTGGCTCTAGGAGCCAGTGGTCAGGGAGGGCTGTGTTTAGTCGTAGGTGGATAAGGGGAGTGTGTAGCATTCCCTGTCTCCCTAGTTCTCTTCTCCAACCTCCTTTCTAATTTCTTCTACTTGGACGAGATCTGCTCCAGTAAGAGGTTGAGAGGAGTTTGTTGTTGAATCCTTTCAAAGGCCGAAGACTGAAAAGCAACAATCCTTATGTAGGTCATGACCCCTTTGGGGTTTGCATATCAGATCTTTATATTATGATTCATAACAGTAGCAAAATTACATGACATAGCAACAAAATAATTTTATGTTGGGGAGGGTCATTCCAACATGAGGAACTGTATTAAAGGGTTGCAGTATTGGGAAGGGCAGGGTGGCTCATGCTGTTATTCCTAGGACTTGGGAGGCAGAGGCGGGCGGATCTCTGAGTTCGAGGTCAGTCTGACAGAACCAACAAACCAATAGCAATTTTCCTCCTGCGCTCCTTCTCTTCCTCCTCTCCTTCTTTTTGTATATTTATTTATTTATAAGTGCTGGAGATCAAACCTATAACCTCACACTTGCTACTAAACTATGCCCTGTCTTTCACTATCAATTTGTGAATTCCTAAAGCTAATTTAGATTTGACTGTTTTTTGAACCTTTGATAACTTAATTATTCTGAGTGTTTTTTAAATTTGACTTTTGCGACCTGATGTTGCTCCGGTATATTTTACCACCGTGTCTCCTCGGTTAGTTTTTATTGGACCACCTTACAATTTGACTTTGGTTTTCACTGTGGGGAGGGACCAGGATGGGGTAGCTAAGGGTGCAGAGGGCCCAGGAAAGAAGCAGTGGTCACAGGGGTTGGGTGTTGCTGAAGGACCAACATGCAGAGTGAGATAAAACATTTGATGGAGCATAGAGGAAGCTGCTTGATGGGTAAGGAAGAACTCCAAAGTGGACTGAGCCCAGAAGCCAGATCCCTAGGTAGCGGAAGTGAAGGGGTAAGGATTGTGCTTGTTGCTTCCCAGACGAGGAGTGGGATGGGCAGTTGGGGAAAGCAGGCAGAAGATACAAGAAAGGAAGTCAATGGGAGAGCAAGGCCCCTTGGGAGCGTGTGGGTGTGGCATGGAAGGCGCAGGTAGAGGGGCTGAGTATAAGGCACTTAGGTGCACCTTTCCCCCAAGCCAGGGCGTGTGAACAGGGTGAACAGGGCCAGAGCACTGATGGCCGTGATGGCTCAGAAAGGTTGCATTCTTGTCAGATGTGCCAGGACATCTGGGTGACATCTGGGTTGGAGTGGTGACGCAGAAGGGGACAGATGCAGAAGAGAACTTACCTTTGGCCAAAGCCCACTTCTGCTACCTTGTACAGATCATGTTGTTGCTGTCTCGGTGTCCCCAGCTATGAAATGAGGGAACTGAGTGACCTATTTTACACATTCTGTGTTGTCTGAAGATGCCGTGAAGGAGACTGTAGATGCTCAGCAGTTAGCCCAGCTATCTTCATCTCGTGTACGCTGTTTCGTGAGGCACCCTTAACTTCTTTTAAGTCGTCCCTTTGACCGGACCCAATATCTAAAAGTATGATTCAGCCGATTAAGAGGGTTGACAGGTTGACTATTTACTTTATCAAGAGATGCATCACTTTCAGAACTGTTCTGAGCACTGAGACGCACTGATGCGCAGAAAACAGTTCACGTTTGCAGACGAGTCCCTTCCTCCCAGCTCCTCGGGAGCACATTTGCAGAGGCGGAAATTGAGGTGATGTTAGGTCTTAGCATCCCTCTCTGTCTGCTAATTTGCCAATTATTATTTCACTTCATTTCTGTTTCTGCTCTCATGGGACTTCCCCAGGGAGTCCTAGCTGAAAAGAGCTCTCATCAGCCTCTGGCCTCTTCTCCGGTGTTAATCTCGCTTCTCATCACCACCAGTATTTTATCACCTGTTTATTCGCAGGTCTTTTCCTACCACTGGGACCTTGAGTTCTATAAAGATAGATGATATTTTCATGCTACTGCTCTGGGGCCTAGGTGGATGTCTGCCGTAGGCTAAGATGTTCAGTAGCTGTTTGTGGGCTGTATATACATATGAATGAATGAGTGAGTGGGTGAATGAATGAATGAATCAGTCACTCTTACTCTATCGCTGCCTGTAACAAATGGATGTCAAATCTAGAGGGTTTGTTTTTAGGATTTTTATTTGATGATTTCTAGGGTCCAAGGACTACCAACTTGTCACGTGGTCTCGGGATCAGACCTTGAGGATGTGGCGGGTGGATTACCAAATGCAGAGGGTATGTATTCAGCACTATGATAGAGACATACAAGTGATACACCAGACATTGAACCAAAAGATACAAGAAATTAGAGAATAAATGCTGACATTTATATGCCTGTGGAGGGCTGGTGGCTCGGTACGCCACACTGACTTGGGAGTCTTTAAGAACCAAAGTATTCTGCACTTTGAGGCTAAAAGACTATTTTTTCCCTCTTGACCTAGTATTAGACAGGATGGGTACCGTACTGAGCAATGGCTTAGCCCTTCATTTCTGTCTCTTCTCAATGGCTTGAGAAGCCTGCCCTTGTGCTCTGTTCAGAGCCCCTTCACCCATCAGCACCACCTTCCCTATGGAGCTCCTTCCAGTGTTTTCATATATGAGCATTTGTTTCATACATGAATGAACGTGGTACCTGGCATGCCGCTCTGAGCAGTCATGGGGCAGTCTTCTTCTCGCCAGGTGACTGACTCTCCTGATGGTGAGAAACACGGCTCACTGGTGTTTCATACCCAACAGCATTTCTAATACCAGCTCCTCCAGGACTGATGGGAAATGCTGGGTGAAAGTCACAGCACTGCTTAGTCTAATGCCACCTGAGCGTTTTGTTTCAGTCCTATTATCTCATTGCTTTTTCTTTAAATTTGTTTTTTCCAGAACATATATATGGTCCAAATGCTTAGGGTTATGGTATCTTTGCTTGTGATTTAGCTGAATAATTCCATTAAGATTTGGAATTTGAGTTGATCTTCTTTTTCTCGGCATTTTTACTCTTATCATGATGGAAAGTATCTAGAGTGGAGTAATAGAATGTGTTATTCTTTGTAACCAGGGAATGTTGGTGATGGGTAAAATCTATTTTGATTATGCTAGTTCTTAGCTGACACATCCCTGTCTGAAGTGCTAATCTAATGAATCTTTTTTTGTTTTTGTTTTTCAAGACACGGTTTCTCTGTAGCTTTGGTGCCTGTTCTGGAACTAGCTCTTGTAAATCAGACTGGCCTCGAACTCACAGAAATCCACCTGCCTCTTGCTCCCAAATGCTGGGATTAAAGGTGTGACCACCACCACCACCCAGCAATCTAATGAATCTTAATCAGTAAAGACCAGGAGTCAGATACCGGGGTAAAAATTTGGAAGATGAGAGAGGCGGGAACAGTCGCCAGCTGTTCTCTACCTCTCTCCTTCTGCACCCAAAAGGACTGAGATCCTGTCTGCTCCCCATCTTATCACTTCCCATCTCCACCTCCCGAGTCCTGGGATTAGTGTGATCCACTGCCACTCGGCTTGTGGTTAACTAGTAACCAGCCAGCTCCACCCTCTGATCGCCAGACAATCTGTCAGAACACAAATATCACACAACACCTGTCCTTTATGATTCCATTGTTTAAGACAAAACTGTTTAGTCAGACATAGTGACCATTTCTGTTACTTCTCTAGCTCTACATCTTCACCCTCACATTTTGCTGTTTTAGTTTTTAGTGCTGCTGTCCATCAAACCCAGGATCTTGTGCATGCTAGGCAAGCACTTTAGCACTGAACCACATTCTCCACCCCACCCTCTGCCCTTGCTTTCAGCTCTGTGCCAATGACATACTGGATGGTGTTGACGAGTTCATTGAGAGCATTTCTCTTCTGCCGGAACCAGAAAAGACCTTGCACACTCAAGACACAGATCACCAGCCCAGCTCTAGCCACGGAGAGGAAGATGGTACTGCAGCTGATGTCCTAGGTGAGGGGTCCACTGTGCATCCCAGAGTTACGTGGCCCATACCCCAGAACTCGCTCATTGTCTAAAACATTTCCAATACTGACTGTCTCTCCTGGTAGCCTTAAAGGAAGATCCTCCCAGCAGTTTGCTGGAAGAGAGGAAACCAGACCAACTAGGCCTGCCTCAGACTCTGCAGCAGGAATTCTCCTTGATCAACGTGCAAATCCGGAATGTCAATGTGGAGGTGAGTCAGAATAATGGACTGTACTTCATGCTTGTGGGTGCAGTGTGTGGGCGTATGCGTGATGGGTCTGTCAGAACTGGAGTTAGAGGCAGTTTGTGCTGCACAACACAGGTGCTGCAAACTGAACCTTGGCCCTATGGTAAAACAGGAAGCATATTTAACTGCTGAGCCACCTCTCTAGTGCCAGGCTTCTTTTTTAATTCCTAAATTTTCTAAAGAAATAGGTGGTTTACAAATGCAGACACTTTTGAACTCATGTGCCACAGCGTCTCATCTCTCCATCCCCTTGTTTTACTGTGTGCGATGTTTGCTCTGGGAAGACTTGCTGATTGACAAGATTATGAGGTTAATGGCAGAGCTGAATATGGAGCCAGATCTCCTAAATCTCTTTCACCTTCCCTTTGTGAGCTAGTTTCCTTTGATGTAAATTTGGAGTAAGAAGGTGACCAAAGCGTTTGAAACAGACCTGGGTCAGAAGGTCATTCTTCAGTGACAAGGTCCTGAGGAGGACATGGCCAGGAGATGAAGATGGAGAAGACAGAAACCCGTGTCTTATGCCAAGCAGACTTACTAAGAAGTCCAGCATCTTATATACTGTTTCCAGGGGGAGAAATGGGACCAAGTCAGCAAGATGCTAAACAAGCAATATTGCACAAAGAAAGTACAAGGTATCATCGCACGTCTCAGACTGACCACACAGCAACCATGGGACTGAAAACTTCAGTTTCTTCAAAGGGAAAAGCCAAGTTCCCAGGAACCAAAACCCTGACTCATTCAAGGCCCAGGTCCCAGCTCCAGACTAGACCATGCCAAGTCTGCCCCTTGGCAAGGACAGAAAACTAGGTTCCTTTTGTGGTTTCATCAGGGCCTCTGAGAAGCCTTGGATTGACCTGGCTCTCAACATGGAGCAGTGTGTGTGTGTGTGTGTGTGTGTGTGTGTGTGTGTGTGTGTGTATTTCAAAATTCTTTGCGTCAGAGAACTGAATGTCACTCCAGGAAGGGATTTTAAAGCCTTGTTAATTTTTCCTTTACTCTGAGGCACTGCACTGTAGACGGGTAAGTACTGCAGTGCTGTGATTCGTTGGGTCTTCCACGCTGTCCTGGAATGTGTAGTTTCACTGTGCTTTACACAGAGAAAACTGAGACACAAGATACAGAATGACCTCAAAGGCCAGCAGTTGTTGGGTGGGAAGTGATAATATTTGTTTTTGATTTTTAAAATCTTAATTTTTAAAAAAGTTTTATGTGTATGAGCATTTTGTTTGTGTGTCTGTCTGAGCACCACGTGTGTACAGTGCCTGCGGAGGTCAGAAGAGGACATTTGGAATTTCCCCAAAACTGAGTTACAGACAACTGTGAACCGCCGTGTGGGTGCTGAAAATTGAACCTAGGTCCTCTTCTGCTTTATCAAGGCACCAGACACACAGGTGGTGCACAGACATACCCATATGTATAAAATGCACACACACACACACACACACACACACACACACATATACACATACATACAAATTTATTTAAATAAGTACTAAAACTTAAAAATCTGTTCTGAAAATGAATTATCTTTCAGACTCACTTGTTTTTATAGGCACTTTCCTTTTACTCAGTGACTATGGGCGTGAGCATTTATGTTGCTCATTAAAATCCATTTGTGTCCTGCTAAGGGTGTGGCTGGGGGGAGGAGTACTTGTCTCCTGTTTGAGGGTTTGAGGCTCAGCACTGCAAATAAAATACAGCACAATATGACAAGGTAAATGTGTTTTCCTTTGAAAATCCTTTGGAGTTTGTCTCCATCTTGGACTTGTGTCTTGCAGATGGACGCTGCAGACAGGAGCTGCACAGTGTCTGTGCATTGTAGCAACCACCGTGTCAAGATGCTGGTAACGTTCCCAGCACAGTACCCCAACAATGCTGCTCCGTCTTTCCAGTTCATTAACCCTACCACTATCACGTCTGCCGTGAAGGCCAAGCTGCTGAAGGTAAGGCTGCTTCCCAGCTTTAAGTTCTCCTTGTGTCTGTAGCACGGGCATTGGTAGGGTGAGCACAAACCGGGATCAGTAAGATTTGAAGTTGCCTGATGCTGCAGCGTGTGCTGCATAGCTACTGTCCTGGCCTCCCCCTTGGTGCACTCAGCAGTCGGGCAGGGTTCTTAACCTGCCTTCTTGAAGGGGCAGATATGTTTGTCTTTTGGAATTCTAATAAAAACTGACTTTTCTTCAGAAAAGCTTTTAGAAATGTTGGATATGAAGGGTTTCATAAATATCACGTGCAAATATATGAACCATAAGGAATGTGCTTGCAAATTTAGAGCTCTTCGTTAGTCTGAGGTTATGTGCTCAGCAAGGCAACTTTAGTTATCTAGAAAGAATAGGCAAAATAGATTTTGAAGCTAAAAAATATTTGATAGTTAGGAAAAAAATATAGTCATTTAAAAATCTCAGAAAAGGTCAGGGTGAGGGTGGGAAGGAATTGAGAGATAGCTCGGAGATTAAGAGCACTGGCTGTTCTTCCAGAGGTCCTGAGTTCAATTCCCAGCAACCACCTGGTGGCTCACAACCGTGATAATGAGATCTGGTGCCCTCTTCTGGCCTGCAGGCATACATGCAGGCAGAACACTGTATACATAATAAATAAATAAATCTTAAAAAAAAAAAATCTCAGAAAAGGAGCCCTGTAGGTTCAGAAGCTGATGTGTGTGTAAAATAATCTTAAGATAAATTAATTTAATAGTACTTTTATTTAATTCAGCACATCTAAAGTAATATTATCGTGTCAACGTATAATAAGTGAAAATGAGCCAAACAGGGTGGTACAGTCCTTGTGACCAGCCTGGGCTACATGACTCCCTGGGTCGACCCCCAAAATGAGATACTTTATACTTTTTATTTTTGGTATAAAGCCTTCTGTACTGTTGTGAACTTTTTCCTTGCAGCAGATGTGAGTTTGGAGGAGGCACACTTCCTGTGCTCTGTGCAGGCAGTGACAGCAGTGGTCCAGTTCATATCTGTAGCATGTACCTTATAATACCGGAGACCACCATTTTAGTGGATAAAAATATAGTGATGCTTTTTAAATTTTGCTGCATAGAAGTCTTTGCCTTGGGTTATATCACTCAGAATAGTTTTCTCTCCACCTAGTGATTGTTTGTCCAAAATGATGAGATTTCTCATGTGTGGAAGTAGAGCTGTATAGAACTCAACAGAAAGAAAGAATAGTCACATTGTGTATGGCTCAGGAAAGTTCTTCCCTTGAGCCCCTATGGGAACCGATAGAAGAAGCCTCAGGCCTGACCATGCGCCACCTGCCCAGAGCCAGCATGCTTCCAGCTTCTTTGCAGAATAAAACCACGCAGGAAACATATGGACATATGATTATCTCCCTGATGGTGTTTTGGGTCTTTTTCAGATCCTAAAGGACACTTCCCTGCAGAAAGTGAAACGCAACCAGAGCTGTTTGGAGCCTTGCCTGCGCCAGCTTGTCTCCTGCCTTGAGTCTTTTGTGGTGGGAAATGTGAACTTGTTGGGCCAGCCCGTGCTTTAGTGTCTTGTTGCAGTTCCTGTCCCCGAGACCCTGGCTCCAGCTGTAGCACTGCACCCCTGTTTTGTAATCCTACTTGGTGATAGGCTGCAGGCCCTAGTGTGTTTGTCTTTGATTTTAGAACCAAGAGGATAGTGCTTCTAGCAACCCATTTGCACTCCCGAACTCTGTCACACCACCTTTACCGTCATTTGCACGGGTAACCACTGCCTACGGGTCATACCAGGATGCCAATGTTCCCTTTCCTAGGACCTCTGGGGCCAGGTTCTGTGGAGCAGGTAGGTCTCTCTTTTCTTTGACTCTAACTCTGAAGAAGTGTAGCTACGAAATTCAATTTTCTGCATAATTATCAGAAAATGTTTGTTTTTAACTTTGCAAGAGCTCAAAACAACATATGGTATAATGCTAAATTGGTGTCTGTGGATATAGCCTAAGAATGTTTACCAAGGACCCAGTGAGATGGCTCAGCAGTACAGAGCCCTTGCTGCTCTTGCAGGGGACTCAAGTTCAGTGCCCAGGACCCACACGGCAGCTCACGACCACCTGAACCTCCAGCTCTGAGGGATCTGACATGCTCTCTGGGTCTCAACAGGCATCTCTGGACATACATAGCATACACATACAGAGACACATATATGGACATGTAAATAAAATGAATAAGTCTTTGTAAAAAAGAATGTTCACCTTAATTGAAGTCTTCCCTGGTTTAGTTCTGATGATCCTGAATTTGTATCTACTTAGATCCCTGATTCATTTACCTCTCCTGGATCTTGTAGATTTTCACGCTGTTCCTTTTAAGGATCAGTGTAGTCACAAGCCTTGGCAGTTTGTGGAGATGTGCCTCAGGTATACTGAAATAGAGAAAAAAAAAAACCCTGCCTGGCTGGTGGTAAGAATGCTTAGCATGTGCAAAGCCCCATGTACAGTCCTTAGTACCACCAAATTTTTAAGTAGTTATTAATCCAGGCATTAATCATGCCTTAATCCCAGTACTTAATATGATGAGGCTGGAGGCTTGCTGTGAATTCCAGTCCCACTTGGGCTACTTAGTGCGACCCTGTCTCAAAGAACAAAAAGATTACCCAGTCCTGCCTTAGGATTCCCATGTCCAGCTCACTGATACCACCATGCTCATGTGTCTCCTTTGTCAGGTTACCTGGTGTACTTCACAAGGCCCATGACGATGCATCGCGCAGTGTCTCCAACAGAGCCTACTCCTAGGTGAGTCTGGGAGACACAGCAGGAATCTGCATCTCAGGGTCTCTCTGAAAAGTTCATTTCAGTTCTCCAGTGAAATTCCTCTTAGGAGATGTCTTATTTCTACTGTAAGGTTAGTATCGAAGCACTGGGAAGACAGCTAGATGAGAGCGGTTGTTCAGGCAGCGTGGGCTGGGATGTAAGCCTCATGGTAGTACATGTACGGGCCTAGTCCCACCCCTGGGATAGGAGGGGAAAGAGGAATTCTTTCTAAGTATTTTACTCCCTGACAAAAGCATTGTCCTGACCCCTAAAAACTCCTGGTCCCTTTGCCAAGCTCCACAGGAAGCCACTGCCCTGACTTCTGTCACCTTCTTTTAGTTTTGCTGTTTTTACACTTCATTGAATTAGGATCATGGAGCATGAACTGTTTTATATCCGACTTACTGTGTTCAACTTAATGTTATTGACCTTGATATGAATCCCTGCATGGGTCAGTAATTGCACTGTATGAACATAATGCAGGGTGATTCGTTCTGTTGATGGATATTTGGATCATTTCCCGTTGGGACTATTAAAAGTGAACTAGACATACACCCCCTTTTTCTTCTTTTGTGGATATACTGATTTCCTGACCCAAGGGGTGAAACTGCTGAGTCACAGGTCAGACGTCTGTTCAACTTGGAGAAGTGTGCTCGGTGGGGAGGGCGTTTGTCCTCTTCTCACCGAAGGCTCCCAGGATTGATTGCTCCACATCTTCTCTCTGTATTGCCCATCTCTTCAACTTCTGTCATTGTGGTGGGTGGGAAATATTATCTCGTTGCTTTAATTTGCGTTCCCAGGATGATGACTAATGATATGAGCAGCTTCTGTGTGCTTTATTGACCATTTGGGCGTCTCCTTTTGTGATGTGTCTGTTCAAGTACCAGGCGCGGTGTTACGTATCTGTGGGATGTAGGCATTGATTATCTTCAAATCTATGGCTGTTTTTTTTTTCTCCCTCCTTAATAATATTCAGTGAACATGGTTTTCGATTTTGATGCTGTCTAATTCATCATTTTTTTAATTTTATGGTTAGTGATTTTTGTATTATATCAAAAAGAAAGAAAGAGAGGGAGAGAGAAAACCTCAGTCAAGGTCACAAAAATGCCCTTCTGCATCTTCTGCTAAGAGTCTATAGCTTTAAATTCCTTGCTTAAGGTCCATGGTCTCAGTCTGTTTGGTGTTCATGATGTGAGGAAAGGTGGACATTTGTTTTATTTAATAGAAGTCAACGGTTGTCCTAGCACTGTTTATGCAGCCTGCCTTCCTGCATGGCTGAGAACTGGTCGTCTGTTTTGGCACCCTAGTTATTCTTTGGATCTACCCGTCTTTCCCCATGTCTTATTACTCAGAATGTAGCCTTTTGTGATAAATCTTAAAATTTGATAGAGTAAGTTCTCGAAGGTTATTTTTGTCCAGTTTTTTTGTTGGCTATTCTTGGCCTTTGTATCTCCACAAAATTCTGTCAGCTTGGTAGTTTCTACAGTGTCTGTCCGTGTTGATTGGAATTATACTGACTCTGCGTCAGTATAATTTATTTAAGATAAATTGGAGTTTTTTAAAATGGTTGTTCATGACAGGGTTTCTCTGTGTAACCTTGACTGTCCTGGAACGTCCTCTGTTGACCAGGCTGGCCTCAAACTCACAGAGATCCGCCTACCTCTGCCTTCCAAGTGCTGGGATTAAAGGTGTGCTCAAGCTGATGCTTTAACAGTGTGGAATCTTTTCATTCCCTGGTGTGGTGTGTATCTCCATTGTTATGTATCTTCTTTAAGGACTCTTAGGAATAGTTTGTAATTTTAGTGCATATTTTTTACTATATTTGTTCCTAAGTTATTCATCTTTTCTTTTCTCTTTTTTCTCTTTTCTTTCTTTCTTTCTTTCTTTTTTTTTTTTGAGACAGGGCCTCCCTCAATAGCTCAGACTGCCTTGAGACTCACTATAGCCCAGCCTGACCTTGAATTCATAGTAGCTCTTCTGTCTCAGCTCCCCTAGGACTGGGATTACAAGTATGAGTCCTATTTCTGGCTATTTGATGTGTTTTGATAATAAATAAAAATTAAAACTTTTCATATTTTTTTATATCTGGCTCTGTGTGTGTGTCTTTATTAGTCAAGTTATATGTGTGAGTGCATATGTGTCTTTACCAGCTGAGCCATCTTTTGGCCCTCGAATGATTATTTCTAGTATCTGAAAACAGCAGATTTTTGTAATTAGCCTTGTATCTAAAGCCACTAGTTAGGTCTGGTAGTTTTGGAGTCCTCTGTATTTTCTGTGTATATAGTCATGAAAGAATCTGCTTCTGCAGTCTGCAGTTTTCATCTCTAAAAGCTGATTGTTTTTGTTTCTTTGTTTGGATTCCCCTTCTCTTCCCATTCCATGCCCTTATTATCTTAAGAATAATGTTACTCAGGGTTAGAGGCTACAGCCAATATGAATAACGCTCATTCCAACCACAGATCTCTCTCAGCCCTATCTGCTTACCACACTGGCTTGATTGCACCAATGAAGATCCGCACCGAGGCCCCTGGGAACCTGCGTTTGTACAGTGGGAGCCCAACTCGCAGCGAGAAAGAGCAGGTCTCCATCAGCTCCTTCTACTACAAGGAACGGGTAAGTGTCTGAGCCATTGCCTTGGGTTCTTACCCATCTGCATTCTTGTTTCCAGTCCCCTGTGTTCCAGGGAAAGTAGCTAAATTAGTAATCCCCTTGTAGTCTTTCACTTTCGTAGTTTGTATAAGAAAGGTCATTGTTCTGTTGCTCTCATTTGGCTTGAACTGTAAACTATGGGGTAGAAGGAGAAATGGTTTGTTCTTTTACCGGAACTATTAAGAGTGCACTTTACTCCTTGTTTAAAATCTGTCCTGGCAATCCCCATCCGTTGAATTGCTTCCCATATATCAGGCAGAATAATTAACTTCAGTTCTTCCGTGTTATCCCGATATCCTGATGCCTGTCCACACACTGAGAGCTGCTTCTGAAAGCTGGAGGTCTTGGTGGATTTGGGACTACTTCATCTCTAGGTTTTCCAGAATGGATCAGCTGACACAAAAATTACCCAAACTTGCCCTTAATTTTTTTTTTAAAAAAGATTTATTTATTATGTATACAACATCTGCCTCCATGTATTCCTGCAAGCCAGAAGAGGGCAACCAGATCTCATTATAGATGGCTGTGAGCCACCCTGTGGTTGCTGGGAATTGAACTCAGGACCCCTGGAAGAGCAGTCAGTGCTCTTAACCTCTGAGACATCTCTCCAGCCTTGGTTTTGTTTTTTGTTTTTTAATGTGTATGCCACCATGCCTGGCTTTTCTGGGGTTCTTAAAGAGTGCAGCGTCCCTACAGTACGTACTGTTTGGCTGGCAGGAACCTGCTGAGCCCGGAATGCCTAGCAGTCTTTCTGTGTTGCCAGTGAGGGCCTGGTGTCGGCACTGTGTTTCTGCTGACCTACTGCACACTGCGCACACTCTGTCCTTAAGATTCTTCATGGTTTCCTTTAAAATGGGACATCCGTGCCAGTAGTTAAAATCAGCCTTAAAAATAGAATCATTTAAAATTTAAAAAAAAAATGGTTTTTCTATCAAGTATTGTCTAAGTATCTTCATGTGTTGCCGTGGAGTCTGCCTCGGCTCCCGCTGACGGCTGGCAGCTCTGACAGTTCCAGTCTCAGGGCTTATGTGGCTGGAGTCAGGCGGCAGCTGATATTTGAAGTAGTCTAGTCTTGAGCCAAGCCATCCAGTCAAGCAGGAATATAGTGTAACTGCCTTCCTGCCTGCCTGCCGCTCTCCACACTCCCTCTCCCCATCTCCTTGATGGGGTTCTGTCCTGCTGGCTGCCACAGACTGTCCTCAAACACCCACCAAACTTTATCTCCCCCAAGTCATTTACGTTAAAAAAAATGAGTTCCTTTCTCCCCTTTTCTGCAAGGCATCTGGTAACTGGGTAGAAGGTTTGATAGTTGGAGCATTCAGTTGGCTTCAGAGCACTTGCGGTTAGGTAAATGAGGGTTTTACTTTGTGTCAGGGCTGGTTTGAAGAGGTCCCCGAGTCAGAGGCAGTTCTGAATGCCTCTTTGATTCACGTCATGTGCTACCACCCAGCTTGCAGTTTGATTGACTAGGATAGACTGGCCTACCTATTTGACTTGGTGCTCACATAAAGCACATCTATAGTCAGAGTGCTTGTGGTTCCAAGACAGAGTCATCGGTGATGCTGGCATTCATGGTTAAGGTGATCTGGCCCCACTCACCACCAGCACGTATTCCTAAAGAAACACCAGGAGAGTGTGGCTGATCGTGCTGCAGCTGGGAAGGACCAGGAGATCTCAGCGTGGGGCAGTTCCCAGACTGCTTTTCTCCCAGGAAATGGGCAGTTCTGGTAGTCTGATCTGACATAGGAAGCGTTTATTTTTACATAGCAACCAGATAAAATGGGGAACACTTTTTTTTTTTATCACAGTGTAGCATGAAATCCTTGCGCTGCTGTATACCATGTGCACAATCATAAATGTGTAGTTTAGGGAATTAACAAGTACCCCAGTCAAGAGACAGAAGACTGTAAGACCTTCTGGACCCTGAGGGAGGGAGACACATTTAAAGAATGGCACATAATAATTGTGAAGGTAAATTTTGGACACTTGCTTCTGTTTGGCCACTTCTGATCTAAAGTTTCATGTGGTCAGTGTATTTAAGATGCCCAAAACAAATGTCAGTTGTTCTGTGAAATTTGAAATAGCCTTATCTCTCCCTGCCGCTCGTTCATGCTTTATCCTGTTTAAATAGAGCAGGGCAGCTAAAGTGATGGAAGTCCCGTGCTGGCTTCCTTAGGTGGCCTTGTCTTTCTCGCAGAGGTCAGTAATTCTTGAGGACTGTTTTCTCCTCAGCAGAAATGATTTCATTTTTTTACTTTTGGTCTGGAAATGTTTCCAGCTAACTGAAATTTTGTGTGTCCACATTTTCTCCTGTGTACTTTTATGTCCTTGTAGATCTCTGCCCCTGAAGCTATAGATGAGGGAGGTGGAAAGGCTGAACTGTGCCTGGTGAAGGCCTACCAAGAAGGACTTGCATTGAGATCGCAGGGTCTCATGCAGCGCCTAAAGACAGTAATTTATTTCTCTTGTGTTTTTAATCTGCTCAGTTTAGGTTGAATTTGCATTCACCCTGTGTTCTCTAGATGAAATTACAGGGTTTGCTACCAAAAAGTTAAAAATATGAGTGACCTAAAGACCTGCCAAGTCTCATAAGTTGTAAAGTCATGAAGCACAGATGTTCACAAGGATAGACTTGGCAAATAGGCCAGTGATTACCAGCAAAAGAAATAGTGGCTAGTCTAGAACTTCTAATAAATACTGAGCACGACCTACAGGTACTTTTCAGTTTGCGACCTCTCACCTCTGCTTCAGGTTATGCTGTGTAAGTAGCTGGAGAGGCCCTTCAGGTAACAGAGAAACATCTGGTCTCCGTGGTCAGTCTGTTGTTCTGCCCACCTGCCAGACCCCCTTGGCTAGCTACAGTGCCCGGAGAGCTCGCTCCTCAGCTTCGCTCTCCTTCCCCCAGCATTGCTCTGAAAATAGTATTCAGCCCCAGTGCCGAGACACATAGTTGCCTCATTGCTCCCCAGGCACACTGGGCACCGGGCCTATTGAAGAAGTGCTGTAGGAGCAAGAGTGTGCTCTGGTGTGTTCTCCACAGCTGTGAGGTGAGGGGGAGACTATCTGACCGTGCAGCAGGACCTTAGTCCTGTCAGAGCCCCTCCTACCTTCCCCTGGGCTCCTTTATCAGAGCTGTGCTGACCTCGACCTCCTTGTACCCTGGACAGTGGCTAGAGAGCAGCATAAGGGAAGCTGGGCGTGAGGCCAGTGGGCTGGGGAGGAGAGGGGTGCAGGCGCTGCCGGCTTAGACTCGGCCTTTTCAGTCACCCCAGTTCCCATTTTGGAGCATATATACCTATAAATCCATCAGATGTGGGGGAAGCTTTCATTTTATTCTATATTTTTCCCTTTTAATTTTCTTGGTGTTTTTCTTCCCTTTTCCTGGGTGTAACGTTTTCACGCACAGATGTCTCCTCGCTCTGCCCGGCGACGTTGGTCCATACAAGCAATTAACGACTTCCCGGTACTGTGCGCTGTGCAAATACTCTCCTTGACTAATCCTGTCTCTACCAAAGGCCCAAGAATAAAATGCCACCTGCCTGGCTTTGAGGAACCCGAATAACAGACAGGCTGGCTGGTGTTCAGGACCAGCAACACTAAAATTTTCCCCCTGGGGAGGCAGGCACCAAGGACTGCCCCCTTGCCAGATATGGTATTTCAAATGGGTAAACGCTTAAGGATCATGAATGGGCTTCTTTGCAAATGAAACTCACTACTGGGTTCTTGGAAGGGACCCTGATCAAATGACTTCAGCTCACCTGATATCATTTGGGACACTTCTGCAAATTGCATGGAGCTTTCCAACACCTATCTTTGACATGGGGGGGGGAGAGCAGAGGAAGATAGAAGAGACTTCTGCCATTTAGCCTCTGTTTTATAGTCTCAGTCCAGTTCAGAGAGGGAAGTACCTACTTGCTTCATTGGCATACTACCTGAGCTGGTTTTATCCTTCAGGAATTTTCTGGAACAATTTTTTTCTTTTTACCATAGTATTTTGCATTCATAATAAAATTCACTGTGGACATTCTCTGTTCTTCCTTCCTTTCCTACTCATTCCTATTGGCCATCTCCCCTCTTCTGTCTTCCTCTCCCACCCCCTTCATGTTTCAGTGGTGCCCAGGTGGCCTCAAGGCAGCCTTGAGGCCAGTGTCAATTTTGTTTGCTATAAAGAATGTTTACAACAGCAGACCAATACCCCTTTCCTACAAAAACCAGTTGAAAGCAAGAGCCTGGAGTAGCAAGAACCTCCACTCAGCAGCTTGCAGGTAGAGCCGCCAGCATGGCCTCTTTCCTCAGAAAGCTGCCTCTGTCGCTCCCTTGCTGAGTTTCGCTGGTTTCCACCGCTCTTTAAATAGGAGCTCATTTGACTCGCTGCCCACTCTGCTGATTATGCATTGTTGATGGGGTTGCTGCGAAGCAGTTGGTGGCTTATTCTTGGGCTGTTTTTACATTTAACCCATTTACTGGCATCGATGTTGCCTTCGATTGTAGCGGTGACACTAGTGGTGCTCATGAGCTGGTTAGTGGTTGTCTGTCATGTAGCGCTCCCTCCATCCGGCCCCTTCTACCTTGTCTTCTGCTGTCCTCCATGACCACCTCCCCAGGATGTGCACAGGGGCCTCCAGAGCTCGTCATGCGATAACCTGTCTGCCTTGCTTTGTCTCTCTTCCCTCAGTCTCTTCTCTGACATCTGTGAGGAAGGGCTTATTCTGTTGGTGGAGCGCTGAAAAGACCCAAGAGGAAGGCAGAGGCCTTGCCTCCTAGAGGTACCCATTTTGCTGTACAGAAAGGACTCCACCTTGAGACCTGTCAGAATGGGACTGGAGCAGTGCAGGAGGGCGAGGGGCAGAGTTTTAGACCGTGGTGCCCTTTCCTGACCTGGACAGAGTAATTACACCTCAACCTTGTTGTCTGTGTTCTCTCCAAGAGAAAGCCAGTGATGTCACTTGACAGCTTTGCAGGCAGCAGGCAGCCCTAAATTACCTGAAGGTATTAGGGAGAAAGTTAGATTTAGGGAAAGTGGATGGGATAGGAATGTTTCTTATTACCCAAAGTTGTAAGAAATTCCCTGAAAAACTTGTTCACCTTCCCATCAGGGAGCAGCCAGGACTTAAGGCCCCAGCTAACTTCTGTTTCAGGACTCATCGTTTCTTCGTTTAGGCAGCTTTGTTACATTTGAATTTCTAGAATAAATTGACCATCCAGTGGCTCACTGAATGATCCCTGCATCCTGAAGGAGAGACATTTAAAACTGCCACCCTACAAATGTTAAAACAAACAAACAAACAAAAAAACCAACAACAAAGCAAAAACAACAACCTGTTTTGCCCCTGCAGGATTTTGGGCACTGTTTTGCAGTTATTTCTTCCTAGATTAAAACAAACAAAACAGCAACAATAAAACAGCCAAAACAAAGAAGAATCCCATAGAAACAAAGCACTGGTGCTGCTCCATGACCACACTTGTGGTTTATTGCTAGCAGCAGCTAAAATTCAGGCAGCCTTGTGTTGGAGAACCTCCTCTTACAGGCTGAGGCAGCTGTGTGAGGTCATTTCGTAGACACCCATGACATATTGGATGGAAACCCCTAGAAGCTTGTTGTCTCATGCAGTCCCAGGAAATACAAATTTCTGCAATTCAGTGGGGGATATTTGTAGAAGGTTGATGAAAACCATTGCCTTTCTGTTTTTCCTAAGGGATTGGTAGCTCACCTTTGTTTGTTTCTACTGGTCTGCAAAAAGGGGAAGAGTCTTAAGATATGTCTTTGGACTCTGATTTTTCTTGCAGATGCCTGATCTTAACAAACTCAGAAAAGATCACATGCTGCACACAGACAAACACGTGTATGAGAGGCACATTCTCAAGGCCAGCCTGAAACCCTTTAAAGTATCATTGGCCGAATCTGGCTTGTCCCCGGGAAAACTGTGTCAGTAGCCTCCTAAACAGGAGAATCCCAAGAGAAATCCTGGTGCTGTTGCTTCAGAGCTGGACAAACAGCGGTGGCTCTGGAGTCCTGTGAGATTTTAAGGAGAAAACAAGGCCTTCAGCAAACTACCCTGATTTAGCAGGATACAGTCATGGTGTTGAGAGATAAGTCACAGAAAAAGTCATTACAGAAGGATGTTTTAGGGTTAGCATCACTAGATTCAAATGTCAGTCTCTTTATTTACAGAAATTGATATCACTAAAGACAGACCGAACTATTTATATATTTACTGACAGCTTAATTAGGACTGAGTTTTTCCTTTGTTGATTCTTAAAATCCCACTCAGTACTGAAAAGCAAGTTAATACAAACATGCTTAGCCAGGGCTGGGTGTGTGGCTTAGTAAAGTGCTTGTCACACAAGCCTGAGGACCCATGTTCAGATCCCTAGCACTAGTATGCAAGCCAGGCACAGTGACCAGGTTTGTGTCTGTCGCTCTAGCACTGGGTGGTAGAGACAGGCTATTGGGCAGTCAGTGTAGCCCAATCTGTGAGCCCCAGGTTCAGTGAGAGACTGTCTCAAAACAAAATGTTTAATGGAAAAAATACCAGATGTTGACCTCTGGCTTACACACACACACACACACACACACACACACACACACACACACGCATAACAGCTTTGCAGATCTATTCAAATCTCAGCTCCATAACCATGACCTTGTATAAGGTTCACATTTCCATTTACAAAATGGAGGTAATACCCCCATTTCGTGGAGCTGCAGTGAGGCACCTGCCGGCTCAGCAAGAACCAACACTTGTAATAAAAATAGAAAAGTCTTTAAATCCAGAGTCAAATATCAGGACACTTGCACTTGTTTCGTGATCTGTTGCCAAATGAGCTAGTCTTGCAAATGAGCTACTCCTGGCACACGCGCCTTCGTATAATTAGTAATGTGCTTTTGTTAGGTTTGCTTTCAAAGTCAGGGAAGCATGGTTATTTTCAGTGTACTCTGAAAGCTCGCAGGCCCATCCGCCCCTCACAAGGCCTCCATTTGTTTCAATTGTAAAATTAAATGACTCTGGTGAGCTGCTAAGTTGTTCAAGCACTTGTCATTTTCTCTTTACTAAGGAGCCACAGTGACTTCATGTTCACAGTGTTTTAGAAGCCTTCTGTCCAACCCAGAAGATACACTAAACGGATCACATTCCCTTTCAGATGGACTCTTTGTAGCATAGAAATTAAAAGTGAAACTTCTTACATTTATGTGTGTATGTGCACTCGTATGCACATGTGTAAACACATCTGGGTTCAGAGGACAGCCGTGGGAGCCAGGTCTCCTCCTCCACTGCATGGGTTCTGGGAATCAGACTCAGGCTGTCAGCCTGGACAGTAAGTATCTTCCCTCACGGAACTATCTCACATAGTCAGATTTTTTTTTTTTAATACAACATCCTAGATCTCATTTGAAATGGTCAAGTGTCAGGGACCCAAGGGTGTATAGTTTCTGGCTAGTCAAGCATTTTGTGCTACTCCATCGGCTCCCCATACCCTAAGTCACCCTCCCCGCAACTGGTCCCGCACTGAGTGCTCGCATGACCGCTTCTGCCTCACCTCAGGTAGCACTGCCTGGCTCCAGCCCACTCTGACATGTCCTTCCTTTAAGTGAACCCAGCTGGGTGACAGGATAGTAGTGCTGGAATATGGACATAGTTATTCTTTGGGCAATCAGGGCATGTAGAAGCCTGGAGGCTTACCTCGTAAAAGTAGACCAAGGTTCCCCCTGCACTGAAGAGTCAAGAGGTGTGGAGAAGTAACAAATAGTAACAGAAGTGCTTCTTAAGATCCAGTGGATTGTGGCTCCAGATGGATAGCGCTAGACTCTTATAAACACTTCCTAGATGTTCCAGCTAGCCTGCCTCACTCACCTGCTTGGAATCCATGGATCACATTTAGTGGGTCCCAGGAAGTTAATGCAGTGGACACCTGGGGCATTGGTTGGGACATCAGTGATCAGAAATGCCTGGATTTAGACCTAGACTGAGTCATGAAAGAATGATTGTACAAAATCATTAGTGGAAAAGCAAATATGTGGGTGATGTGAATAGTGATGATTCCTGACCATTTATGTACACTTACAGAACATCACTGCAGTTTTTAGGTTGCAGTTTTAAGTTGCATCTGTCTTTTCATCATACCCTTCCTGACCTCCTGAGGTTGGGTAACAGCTCGCGTTAGCCACAATTACCAATAAGCTCAGAAAGAGTGATGTGGGTGAGGCTCCACGTCCACAGCAAATGATTCGCTAGTGTCAAATTGCCTAGGGGCTTACTGAGGCAGGACACACAGTACCTTAGTTTTCTGGTGTCAGGTTGCAAGCCCCTTTCAGTTGCTCCTTATGGCTCCTTTGTTAGTAAATGTGTTGCTCCCTTGCTTAGTTGAATGACTTTGGTGACCTCTTTTTTTAACTTTTGGAAATAAAGTAGGATATTGCTCCCATGACTGGTTGTCATTTTGCAGATACCAGATGGGGCTGCACCCTGCTGCTTTCTGTCTCCCAGGACATTTCCCAGTCCGCATGGGCAGATTCCCCACCGCCACTTGCTGGGGCGACTCTGGGAGCTGAAGCGCGTGTTCATGGTCTCCCATGTCTGTTACCCAGTTCCCCACCCAAGTGTCTTTGACCTTCTGAAAAGATCGCTTTTAGAAGTAATTCAGGCCTGCTACAAGACAAGGCGATTCTTGTGCTGCCAAGTTTCTCTGTCTTCGTATATTAAGGTTTGCAGAGCCCATACTGCCATGTCTGAATTGTAATATCAGCAAAACCCTGTTGAAACTGTCGAAGAAGAAAAAAGCTTTGAATCGTTTCAGGCAAGAACTTTGAACCTAGCATTGAACACCTTAAAGCACCTCCCCCCCATTTGGGGGGTCTTTACTAACTTCTTTACCTGCTATTTTTAAATGAATTAATTAATTCTGGCTTCCTGGTGTCTATTTGTTGAGCTCCTGCAGAATGTAAATAGCCCTGCCGTAGGCGCTCGTTCTCCTGTTAGGATTTTGGATCAAGCGCTTGGTGCCATTTGTTTTCCTTTTACTTCCTACAGATGCTGATTCATGTAATTGTGGGCATGGTGTAATTTAAAGTCTCTGCAAATTACCAATGACCCAAATATGATGTGCTCTGCAACTGTAGGCTTCCGCTCTCCAGGGTCCCCATTAGTCACATCTTGTCATCTCCCCTAGAAATCAAGGAGGTGGAAAAGTAAGCGGGAAGGATCGGACTCTGGCAATCGACCCATTAAGGCTGCTGGGAAGGTTATCATCCAGGACGTTTCCTGCCTCCTTCCTGTTCACAAGTCCCTGGGAGAGATGTACATGTAAGTTCACAAGTCCCT